TTCAGGCAAACAAGGACCCAGAAATAAGTATCTTTTAAGCTTCCTGGAGATACAAATGTACAATCAGAGTTGAGAACCTCTGTTCCACAATATAATTTCCATGTTAGAAAAGGGAGTATCATGCGAAGCAGCAAAAATCTGTGAAATTTGTTTGGAAGAAAATTCCAAATTATAATTCCCAAATGATTGTAAATAAAGGAGAAGTGTTTATAACTCTGCTGAATATAAAATTGCTACACGTGGCAGACTTTCCCATTTTTTTTTGTTCGTTTGTTTTTTCTTTTTGGGTCACACCCAGCAATGCTCAGGGGTTACTTCTGGCTCTGCACTCAGGAATTACTCCTGGCAGTGCTCAGGGGGCCATTGGGATGCTGGGAATTGAACCCGGGTTGGCCCCGTGCAAGGCAAAAACATACTATCACTCCAGCCCCAGTCTTTCCCATTGTTTAAGTGGATAGCACCAAAGACTCCACTAAACAGGTCAACGTATTCTAGCTGCAGGGCACGATGGAGATATGTTTTTGCATCAACCCATGCAGGCAGGGCTATTAGCCTGAAGTCTTTCTTCAATTAGGCATTTAGAAAACTTTCCTCTTGATGCATAGGAGAAGCAATGCTGCATTTTGGAGAAAAACAGATAAACTCTCTCTACGGGGGAGAACTATCACCAGGAAGATGTGTCAATGATTATAAAGGTGGCACTCTCTACCTCAACTGGATGATTAAATCAAATAATTTCTTTGATTAGGATCACCACCTTTAATAATTTCCCTGAGATGTTTTGGTCCAAAATTGTCTAGGTGCCAAGATTCAGTTCTGAAACTATAATCAAGCCATTGTTCCCAATGTTTGAGAAAATTCAAAGCTTTTTAAGGAGCAAATTTGACTCTCCTCACCGGACTCACCTTTGCCACCGCATTTGTGTGGGACATGGATATTCTCCATTTAAATAAATAGACAATGGAAAAATCAGAAGCTCAATCTCTGAGCACTGTCAGGAGCACTGAGCCCCCAAACCACCTTTCCAACTAGGAGCAACCAGGCTTCAGAACAGTGAATGGGAAGCTCGTGGAAGTACCAAGAATCAGAAGCAGAGGCTCATCTTCCAGTGAACAGTTCACTATACATGTTCCTGTTCCTATTCACTGTTTATTCCCACCTTTAAGCACTGCCTGCCAGAAAAATTGATGTTCAATAAAGAGATAGGAGATAAATGAGGACTACAAAAGGGATGTGCCTGTCATGTATGTCCCATGGTTCTATATTCCACCAGGGCAGAAAAAGGACAAGGTAGACCAACTTTGTAAACTGTGGCTTCATGTTGGCCTAGGGGAGCTGCCAAAATTTCTGACTTTCATGAAATCCTGGCTTTCATGCCTATGGATTATGCATGAATAATCTGGGCTTGAGAGAGTGTGTGGGCGGGATATCAGAAGTGCTCAGAGCTTCCCAGGTGGTTCCATTACACATCTCCTGCTGAGGACCATTGAGACCCATCACACTCACTATGGAAGGGAATCCAGGGAAATGATGACTCTTACAGAGTGTTCTATGTAGGAGAAGAGGGAAAGGCTTCACACTGAAGCAGAGACAGTATTGGCTGATGTAAGAAAACCCTGTCTGGGCTACTAAGATTTTCTGATTCAACATAAATGATCTGAATGACTCGAATAAGCAAAAACTAGTACCACCAGCAAAACTTCCTTTATCTCCAAATATGTTGACCTTGGCCATCATATTTCAAGTGAGGGTGGAGGAAAGACTTACTCTGTACTTCCCGGCAAGCAGAATCTCTGGTCCAACAGCATCAGCATTACCTGGAATCTTGTTAGAGAATTTCAGAACTACCCCAGACTTACTGACTCAGAATTGACCTTTCAGCAGGAGCTCCTGGGAGATTCATGAATCAAGTTTGAGAGTCATTGTTCCAAAGAAATCTTTCTCTGTCCCTAGATTCTGTGACTGCTTATGAGCAGAATCCTAGTCATCACTAAGGAAAAGAAGGCCTGCTGTGCAGAGGGAGATGTGGGTGTGCAGCAGTTGTGGTCATCCCTTTTAAGAGGGGGTGTCCTTCAAGGACTCCAGAAGCCTGCACATGTTCCAGTAAGGGCTGCTTGGTTTTGATCTGACCCTTTGTGGACTCTATGGTATTGAAATAACCCTTCACAGACTCCATAGACATGTCAACAAATCTCACCAGCAGGCCAGTATCAATAGCCACATTTCTACCGGGTATACACAGAACCTAATACTGACATACAAAGCAGTATCAGCCCTACTGACACCGCGAATACAGATGTTCCCAGTTTCCAGAACTGGGAGATATTTTCTGCTTGTCTATGCTGCTTAAATTATGGCACTTGGTGGCTGTGGCCTAGCAAACAAACACCCCCTCCCATATTCATTTTCTTGTCCGTGGGTTCAGTTCAGCCAGCTTTGGCTGAGGTGTTTCCCTGTGGCCTTAAACTGGTTCTCTGCTTGTGTTGTGAGCACATTTCTATCTCCTCCATGATACTCTGATTCCTCAAGGACAAGCCCTAGAGCTCCTTTTTTCATTCCTGACAGGGCCTGCTACTTGGCTGACCTGTGGAGCAGCCCGAATTTAGTGGAGTTCACCCTGGAGGGCTATTCCTTGCACTGTCAATACATCAGTTTCTCTACACCTATTTGGGTCAGAGATGATGCGGCAGGACCCAAGAGGGAGGCTGACCAGTAGATGGATGAAGGCCCTGCTGACTCAGGAAGGGCACAGGTCAAGGCTGTTAGACCTTGAGGGGATCACAGGAAGAGATGGTCTAGTTTGGTGTTTCTAGTCCTTTTCCAATCATGGTGCCTTTCTGATCCTTTTTTGTTGACTCTTAAATCTCATGCCATAGTCCCCATGGTTTTATTTTTCACTTAAGGGGCCCCTTGTTGTAACTATCTCACGGTGAATCAAAAAAAGACGGGGGAAATAATAATAAAATAATAAAACAAAAAAAGTAATGTGGAATCCATGCCCAATTTGATCAGCTTAATCTATGGCTGAATAAATAGCAGTACTCCTACATTAAAGAAAAAAGGGGGGCGCTTGGAATATTCTAGGAATCCTTGGTGGGAGTCATAAAGCCTCCAGGTGAGAAATTCTGGTCTTGTTCAACCTTTTCATCTTGAGTAAGAGGATGCTGAGGCAGATGGAGGTGAAGGACTGTCTTGTAACAGAGAAGAGCGTGAGCCCCCAAATTGACTTTTTAACCTGAATCCCCAACTAGTGCTGTGGATATGGGCTGGCTGGCCCGTGGTGGTGGGTGGTGGGGAGGAGCAGGCTGCCAAAGGGTGCTCTGAGGGTCGCCTCTACAAGCTCCTTTGGACAGACCAACGTGCTAGATGATCTGTGAAGTACAAAATCGCAGAGACAATGAGAACAAAGGGGTGAGGCAGGCAGAGCAACTGCAGCGACTTCAAAGCAAAGACTCTAAAAAGATGCCACCAGGAGGACTGGTGAATGGTTGGAAGTGACCACAAGGTTGTGGGGGATGGAGGGTAGTTAAGATAGAGGAGGGTCCATTTATCTGGAGTTGGAAATGATCACTCTAGACAAGAACTGAGGCTGAAAGTAGGTAAAGGGAAATACATGATAGTCTTTCAGCATTTGTATTGCAAACCAAAATGCCTAAAATGAGAGAGAGAGAGAAAAAGAGAGAGAGCGAGAGAGAGAGAGCGAGAGAGAGAGAGCGAGCGAGAGAGAGAGAGAGAGAGAGAGAGAGAGAGAGGGAGGGAGATGCCTGACATAGAGGCAGGCGGGGATGGGGGTGAAGTAGGGGAAACTGGGTGAGGGATACTGGGGACACTGGTGCTGGGAAATTACACTGATGGAAAGATGGGTTTTGGAAAGTTGTATGACTGAAACCCAATCGTGAACAGCTTTGTAATGATCTATCTCACAGTGATTCAATAAAAAAAATAAATAAACAAAAAGGTCCCACTGCACAAAGATGGCCACTGAGTGTATGTGTGTGCAGAGCACAGCCTTACGTGGCACCTTACTCCAGCCCAAGCTGTGTCTCATCACCTTTCAGGATTCACAGTGGCCTGTGGACACACACACACACACACACATTCAGTGGGCATCTGTTGTGAGCGGGGGCCTCATAGTCATCGAGACTGGAGGCACTGAAATTGTTCCTGGATGCAGTTAAGGGGACATCAAGAGCTCCTCCACCCTCCACCCTATAAAAGCTCAGGGTGCTCTAGGACAAACTCAAGAGACATGGATTCTACATCCTATACCTCACTGAAAGAAGGCTTCGGAGGATATTCAAATAAATGAATATGCATGTGGCTTGCAGGCCTTCCAAACTTAGGCTATCAAGAGGCTCAAATTTAGGCTAGCATGAGCCCCAAATTGGCTCAGAAATTATTTACATTACTATGTTAGATGAGAAAGGCGGGCTGGAAAAAAATAACATCATGCAGAAACTCAACCAGGTAAAGCAGTAAGTATCACTGTATCACGGTCATTCCATTGTTCATTGATTTACTCGAGCAGGTGCCAGTAACGTCTCCATTAGTCCCAGTCCTGAGATTTTATGATCCTCTCCTTATTTGTCTTTCCCAACACTGCCATATTGAAGGCTCTTTCAGGGTTAGGGGAATGAGGTCCATTATTGTTACTGTTTCTGGTATATCGAATACACCACAGGTAGCTTGCCAGGCTTTGCCATGAAAGCAGTAAGTAAAGGGTGGGAATGTGGCAATGTGCTCCTAGAGTTAGGTTGTGAGTTTTAACTCCTTGGTTTTTTTTTCCTGTACATCCCCAAATTTTGTGGTGGCTATGCATCATTTATAAAGAGTAAAAATAATTGTGTTTCAAAATGAAGACTCTAATTCTGTTTCATAAAGAAACCAAAGCTGAGACCTGACCACGTTCTCTTCACCTTTGCAATGTTTAAACTGTCCTCACTCTCCAGAAATGGCTTCCCCGACAATAAGATATAGAAAGCAATAATTCATTTACTCACATTCGCAATATTTCTGGAGTTGTTCGAATTCTTCGGGAGTGAGGGAAACCCAGCGTTCCTCACTCATCTTTCAGCCGGCTGTGGATGTCTGAGAACACGCACAGAACTGTATTCAGGGTGATACTGGGGCCCGGACCGGCACCTGGCTCATTGAAGGGATGCTAGACAAGTCCTTCAGGAAACTGCTCAGAGGCCAAGTGTCTATGGTCGCTGTAGGCAGCTTTCCGCAGATGAGCGACTAGTGTTGTTTCTCAAACAACATTCTTCTATCTGCAGTCCAGGCGGTTTCAGAGATCCTTGCTTTTCCTGGGAGAAGTAAAAAAATTACATTGAGAGTGAGAGGGTGCAAGTGTTAGAATATATAAGCCATCTTTTCTTTTTATTTATTTTTTATTTATTTTATTATTATTTTTAATGAATCACTGTGAGATGCAGTTACAGACTTAGAAACTTTCATGACTGCGTTCCAGTCAATGTTCAAGTACTCATCCCTCTACCAATGCCCATTCTCCACCACCAATGTTCCCAGTATCCCTACCCCCACCCCCACCCCCACCCTTCCCATCCCCTGCCTCTGTGACAGGCACATTCTCTCTTACTCTCTCTTTCTTTGGGGTGTTACGTTATGTTTGCAATACAGGTGTTAAAAGTGGTCATCAAGTTTGGTCCATAGACTACTTTCAGCATGCATCTACTATCCCAAGCGATCCAACCATCATTTACTTAGTGCTCCTTTCTCCACCCCAGCTACCTTTTCCCCCAGCGCATGAGATCAGTTTCCAAGCTCTAGGGCAATCCTCCTAACCCTTATTTCTACTGTCCGTAGGTGTTAGTCTACTATTTTGTTACTTTATATTCCACAAATGACTGCAGTCATTCTATGTCTGTCCCTCTCTTTCTGTATTATTTCACTTAGCAATCTTTTCTTACATATAAAAAGAAGACTCTCCATGTGCTTTTTTCCCCCTTTTCTGAGAACCATGAAAATAATTTTTTTGCTCCATTTTTTTTCCTACAAGGACCTTGATTCTTGAGGGGAAGCAATTTATCATCTAAGACCTCTGAAGAGAGCAGAGACCAGGCCAGCACTTCTCTGGACAGTTGTCTGGCTAGGGTGGGGCCAGAAACCAAATATGACTAGGGGACCACATCCTGAACTCAGAGAACATTTTTTTTTAAATCTATTTTTGTTCTGATGGGTTTTGAGGACCACACCCAGCAGAGCTTAGAGGACCACATATGGTGCCAGGGATTGAACTGGGATTGAATTGCAAGTAAAGCAAGAGCCTTACTCCCTGTACTTGGACGCCAACTCTTAGAAATTTTAAGGGTTTCCTGTGAGAGGTGGTATTAAGGCCACTCAATGGCAAGTCAAGAAAAATGCCTCAGGATTTGAATACCTCTGTAATAAAGAAGCACAGGGCTGGGAGCCTTAGGCCTGGGTGATTTGAAAGGTGAGCCATTTTCTCCTCCACTGATTTCTAATTTCAGAGTAGCTCACCTCACTCTGAGGAGTCATTCTGGAAATTCAGCCCCCTGAGCCTCACCTCCCAGTACCAAAGTTTGGCTAATCTACTTTTGATGGAAGATGCTCTTTCCTCAGAACCGTGAATGCAAGAGGAAGGTTTCTGTGTGTGTGTGTGTGTGTGTGTGTGTGTGTGTGTGTGTGTGTGTGTTTGTGTTGTGGATAGGGGCAGTGGGCAGTGGGGGAAGGCAAAGGATGTATTTAAATCCTCACTGACACCTTTTCTGTGGCACCCTCCAAGCACAGTTCACTTCATACTATTGGACATGCAATCAGTTTAGTGGGTTGTGAAATTAACATCAGCATTTAGAAATAAGAAACGGGTTAGGATAGAGTGAAATGGAATTAATTCAGTTTAAAATAAAAGTGTATCTCCTTTCAGTTAATTGTACATGTGTATAATGACTGTGATTTAAAATGTTTATTATTATTATTATTATTATTAGTAGTAGTAGTAGTAGTAGTGCTGGGGATTGAATCCAGGGCCCCATATATATAAAAGGTGTGCACATTATTGAGCTGACCCTCTGTCTCTGAAATGTACTCCTTATTGTGGATTGAGGGTCTATCTTATTTTTCTTTTTATTTTACTTTGAATTTTTTTTTGGAGGGAAGGGAGAGGTGGAGGCTCCCTAGCAGTGCTTGAGAGCTCAGGGGTCACTCCTGGAAATACCCAGCTCAGCTGAGCGGAATTAGGGGCTTGGTACCAAAGCCAGGAAATTCTGGCGACTACTCTGGCTGCAACTGGTGATGCCTGAGGCATTGCCAGGCTGGGGACAGAATTCATGATCTTGTGCATGTATGGCATGCCAGTTCTTAGTTATTTTCCCCTGTTTGATGGAAGTTTTGGAAAGTCACTAATCTAATACACCAAGCAGGACAAATGCTCAGTTCCAAGGATGTTGCACTGCTTGGGTCCTGCAAAACTTCCTAGGGCTGCACCCAGTGATGCTCCCAGGGAGCCAGGGACGGAAGCTGGGTTGCAAGCATGTTCACCCCTGTGCTATCTCCTTGGTCTCTAGAAGTAAGAACCAACCGAAACACAATCTTCCAATGCTTGCAAAGCGTGAGTGTAGTTTCAGTGAAACAGAATCTGTCACAGAGAGTCAGATTTTAGGGAAAGTCTGGAGATCTGGGGCCTATGAGGAATAATGGGAGGTCCGGGGAGGACACTTCTCTGAAAGTGTGATAAACTTGATTGGTGTGAACCAAGTCCAAGGGCTGGACTTGACCTGAGGAACAATACAGGAGGTTCTGACTTTAGAATGAAGTCCTAGGGCCAGAGAGATAGTATAGCGGGTAGGATATTGGCCTTGCATATGGCCCACCCAAGTTCAATCCCCGGCATCCCATATGGTCCCCAAGCACTGCCAAGAGTGATTTCTGAGTGCAAAGTCAGAAGTAAGCCCTGAACTCCACCAGGTGTGACCCCCAAAATAGCAAAAAAACACCCCAAAACAACAAAACCCCAAAATGAAACCAGAATGAGTACCTTTCACCAAACATAGTTTTCCTACAGTAGGTGTGGTTCATGGCTGGGGAAGGAGAAGCCTGGGTCACCGGGAGCATGCCAATTCTAGTTTCTTTCCTCAACCAGCCTGCTTCTTTCCTTAAATGGCCAGCCAAGTAGGTCAGCTCTCAACACCTGGTCGAGGTGCCCAGTGTTTTAGCAGGCAAATCCCACGGGTACCTTTAGGGCTGCCCTTGCTTCCTTTGTCTTCTGTAATCCATGCAGAAAACAACTATGCTGAAAAAATCTGTTTTTCCCCTCTAGAATTACCCCTACCACTCCTCTGCCTCTCCTTCTGCCAATGCTAAATACTAAATTTCCAAAACTTTATGGCCTCCTGATTCTTCTTCAGCCCTTACCTGAGGAATCTCATCCCTCTCCCTAGCCCTAGGGACTCCCTGCCATGCTACCCTCCCAGTACTGTTCTCTCTCCTCATTTCTGATCTGAATAAGCAATGGTCTGCCTCCTACCATGCATGTCCCAAGCCTCCCCAGACTGGCACCTTCCCAAGGTCACAGTCTGCCCCTTCTCTATATTCTAGTTGTGCCCAAGAGGAGTCCATATGCAGATCAAAGGCCTGTGGCTCAGACTAAGCTCCTTCTGTTTCTCTCCTGCAAAATCCAGGCACCAGTCCTGAATGCTTTCCATGAGGCTTGCAGTTTCATTCACTCTGACCTTGATCATCTATTCTTTGTCCCCTAATCCCAGCCTCCAACTTGTATTCTTGCCTTTGGGTTTAGCCTTCCTCTCCCTCGAGCACTCTCTCAAGTGCCAACCAGATCACATCTCTTCTGGTAATACAATTTTTCAGTGGTTTCTACTACTTGCAGAATAAGATGCAATCTTCTTCTTACAATTCAAAGCTCTTTATGATCTGGCCTCTGATTGCCAATTCAGTTCAAAAGCCAGAGGTGACCTTTAGAAATGTTCTTCATCATAATTAGGAATTCAGTATTACAATTCATGTTACTTCTGTTGCTACTACCATTAAAGAGCACTTTACACTGTATTCTTTGCTTTAATGTCGATCATCGAATTTGGTACCCTTAACAATCATGCGAGTCAAACATTGCCTTCCCTAATTTTTGATGAGTTAAGGTGTTTATTAAACATAGTGAGGGAGAAAAAAGGATTCCATGAATGCCGAGAGGATTTCTCCATTATGTACCATTCTGTGGATTTTCCAAAACATGAGTTCTGACAGACCCAAGGACACATTGCATGACAGAATCAACTGAACTTCATAAAACTTAAAATCATAAGGCAGAAGATTTGAGTCTGGCTTTGCGTCTTACTAGCTATTTGACTTCATGTAATTTTTGGGGGGTAAACCTTGGCTTCATTTCTTTATCTCAAAGAAAAGGAGGGACTGGAGTGATAGTACAGTGGGTTGGGCATTTGCCTTGCACACGTCTGACCTGGGTTCGATCTCCGGCATCCCAAATGGTCCCCCAAGCACCGCCAGGAGTAATTCCTGAGTGCATTGCCAGGAGTAACTCCTGAGCATTCATTGCTGGGTGTGACTCAAAAGCAAAATAAAAAAAAAATCAAATAAGTGGAGTTACAAACAAGAGAAACAAAACAACACAAAACAAACAAACAAAAAAACCACACTGTGTTAGTGTTAAGATTGTGTTAGTACACACAAAAAACCAAACCACACCCCATCCCTTAAAGAACCACCCAACACAGTGCCCGTAAAGAACCACCTAACACAGTGTCATTCAAGCATTCATAAAATAATTATTATCATAGTGTTGCAAATGCAATACAGCAGCCACGAAGGTAAAACTGAAATCATCATCTTGCAGCAACTGGGTAAAAAGTCTGAGCTAGGCCATAGTTTTCGGAGCTTCATCTTATCCTGCTCTATGCTGCTGTAATTTTGTTATTCACTCATATTTTTGTTTGTTTGCTCAGGGGCTACTCCCATGTCTGTGCTCAGGGATCATTCCCAACTCTGGAGATCATGTGGTGCAATGTGGTTGTGGTTGTACCTTTCCATCTCCAAATGTCCCTAATTTATAACCAAATTTTATTTCAACACTCAATGCTTAAAACCCTTTAGACCCCCAGAATCACCAAGCCAGAGCACCAAGCCATGAGGCCCATACTACTGGGTTGAGAATCACTGGGAATGACCCCTGGAGTGTGCCCCTACCCTTAAAAAAAATCACCTCTTCAAAGGCCTCCCTCCCCTTCCAGGATAAAGGAAAGACCCCTTTACTATGATCCTTTACCCAAAGTACAGTTATCTTCCCATCCTAACC